TAGAGAACATTCAGGGATCCATGTTTGCTTGGCTCCCTGAGAAGTGGGGCATGTTACTTTCAAAGTGGCCCCCACAGCCCATCTGTCAGTGCAAAGCAAAGACAGAGTGATTCAGCTTTCAGTTACAATAAAAGCCAGGCTGAGACCATGTAAGAAGGCAGGTAAAAATCGGCCCCTTAGATCTAGAATAGACATTGATTTACCCTGCTAGGCTCTTGGAATCAAATCTGCAAGGAGGTGATTTAAATCCCACTGTTCTTTTGTTTCATTTTTTAGATTAATGGATGTGGGAGAAGGTGCTGGGACCGGAACTACAGAAGGTTTGGGCTGGGGCTATGTAGCTGTTTGTTGGAACCAGACAGGGGCTGAATATCCAGGTGGAGACTTGCACCACTGGTGCTGATCAAATCTCATTTACCTTCAACCTCTAGCACAGTTAGAGTGTGAGTTGGCATCTTAAATTGAGCCTCTTGCTTATGTTGCCCAACAATCTTTAATTCCTAATCACCTTCTTTTCCCTTATTTGTAACTTGATTTGGAAATATCGGGTTACGTAACATGCCAATCTGCATGAGGATGCAAGTCTGTCAGAAAAAGCGACTCAATGAACCACAAATTCTAACAAAACTGGAAATGACTTTCCTAAGAAAAGAAAAGATATTTTCATTTCATGCATTTGAAGCTGGTTTTAAATAGACTGGATGCAAGGTTGGTGGTTCTTTTGGCGCTGTTGATTTCTCTGCCCAACCTCCACCCAACAAATGCAAGTTGCTTCCTGGAAAGGGATACAGGAGGTAGAAGGGAACAATCATCTGTGAAGGGACCAGGGTACCCAGAGGCCTTTGGATGTTAATATTGACAGTGCTGTAAACTTGACAGTATCGTACAATTTTACAAGGGAGAGGACTGAAGCTACAAAGACAATTTGCCTAAGCCACAAAGCCATGATTCCAACCCCACAGTTAAGAGATTAGAGTCACCTTACTCACACAAAACCGCAAAAGATTGAGGAGATTATACTAAATAAAATCAGATTCTATTGGAGGAGAGTTCTTGGAAACCCACTACTCTAACACCTAGCCTCCTACCTCATATTCCAGAAGAACTATCCTTTGATGGTTCTTGTTCAGACTCAGCACTAGTTCTGTCCCTTGGGGCCCACACTGATTGAGGAGGACCCTTCTTCCTCCCCGCCACCCCCGCCCCGACTCTATTAGGGTGGCTGATCGGCTTACTGGACCACTCCACCTCCACCCCCAAACACAGGCTTTGAGAACAGGATGCCAGCAGAGGAAGAATCCGAGAACTCTTTCTAGAAAACCGAAGCTCTCCGTCCCTGATCCCTTCAGAAGACTGCAATTCCACGTGCCCTCCGATCCCTGCCCTCCTCTCCGTTCGAGACACATGCTGGCAATAAATTAGTCCCCTAAAAGCACTCGAACATCTATAACCTAAGTCCTGCCTAAATATCTTGAAGACTTTCAGTTCCCCAAACATTTCTAAGGACCTACTGCACGCAAGGTACCGCTAAGGAGACAGGCGTTCACTCCCGGCAATCAGCTCCAACAGGTCCAGTTCCACCAGGTGGAAGGGCTTCCCATCAACACCCTCACCAGAAAAAACGGATTCTTTCTCAGTATTACCTTATAACGCCTAGAGAGGGAAATCCCGTTTTCTGCACTATGTGTGCTTTCACCGCAAATCTCTCCGCTCCCCAAAGCACACATATACTCTCTCTCACACACACACACGTGTAGAAAACTTGTTCCCACTGTCACCACCAGTGAAAACACCCCTCGTCACTTTGATGAGAAGAGCTCCCGCGGAAAGCCGAATTGCAGAGGGCGCCAGGGGTCCCGAGGAACATGGCTGGGCTGGGGAGGGGAGAAAGGCGGCCGGGACCCTGCACAGTGCAGCACAGCGCTACAGGGGCTGGAACCTGGCCTGGAACGCGGTCGTCTAGGCTCCAGTTTCCCGCACAGGCCCCGCCCACCCGGCCGCCCTGCCGGTTCAGGTTCACACGGCGGCTCCGGCCACCGAGGATCCCAAAGTTGGTGGCGTCCCGTGGACTCCAATGGAGAGAGCGAGGAGTCACAGCCAACTCGGGCACCCCAGAGACAACTGGAGGCCGGCGGGGGAGGCGGGCCATGAGGGGCCGGGGGGCGGTGGGGGGCGAGGGAGCGGGGCGGGGATGCGCGGGCCCAGCGCGCTGGGAAACAGGTTGCCGCGGAGTCCCGTCCCCTCCCCCTCTGCCGTCCTGGCTGCGACCCGATTCCCGCCCTGCCCCGGGAGCGAACCCAGCCGCCTCCTGGGCGCCCTCCTTCTTCCTGGATTCACGCGGCTAGGCCGGAGCCCCTCTGGCAGCGGGGTTAAAGGCTCCTTCGGCAAGGTCAAGGCGCGGCCGGCTGGCACCTGGGGATTTTTTTCCAGCGGAGCACTGGCTTTGCAATCGCATTGTTAAGGATCATGGCAGCGGCAGGAAACCCGAAGGGCCCCACAGGTCTGCGCGAGGGAGGATTTATTTTACAGCACGGAACACATTCAGACAGATCGGGGATTTCAATGGGAGGGCACTAGGGGCTTCAGAACGCTGGAATGTGGCAAAAACAAAACACTCCACACCCAAGCACACCACCATCTCCTGACTGCGGGCTGGGGGGAAGGGAGTTCAGGGCCAATGTTCCCCAGACTTCAGCATTCCGCACAGCTCTGTCAGGGCTGTAGGGGCTGATCCCTCTACAGACGAAAATCAAGATTTAAAAGCACACTCTTACTGTGGTTTCTCTATCAAACCCCATCAACGTAATACAGGCTGCGGCGCCGGAGGGAAGCGGAGAAACGAGGTGAATAAACGCAACAGAAACAAACTGCAGTCTGCAGAGGGGAGAGGCGAGGGGACCGAAGCCATACCCGGCACCCAGCCCCATCCTGTCCCCATCAGCGCCGGGCTAGTGCAGAAAGCCAGGAATAGGTGCACGTTTAAGGGTGGCTGCCCCGGCGGAGCCAGGGTTCTACTGCCTCTAACCCCTTATTAGTGTGGGCCTGGATGCCTAGGCTGCCTGGACATCGCCAAGGGGGACCAGGCACCGCGCGCGGGCAGGCAGGTTTCTAAACACGTGAAAGGCATAGGGTGTGAGAGGGAAGAAGGGGCGCCAGGAAGGGTGGAGAAGAGGGACTTTGGGGCTCCCCAGGATGCAAAGTCAGTTTCTGAAAACGGCGTTCCCTGGAAGGCCTTCCAACACCCCCAAGAGAAGACTTAGAGCTCAGGAGACTCAATGAAACCTGAGTTCTGACCGACTCCTCCTCTGCGATCAATTCCGGATGCCCCCATCTAATCCCTGCCTCGGTAACTGGTCCTTTGAGGACAGCAGCATCGGCACCTTATGCCCATCGTACGAGTGGGCGCCGTGGTACAAGGCGCATCCTAGCTACCCGGACCTGGGGTGGGGGGCGCACCAGTACTTACACTGCTCAAGCAGGCAAACTTTCAGGCTTGTCTTTCGAGAACTGGGAGCTCGCATCACAGTTCCGGGTAATCACCGAGGCAGCTTATGTAATTGCCCGCGATGCCGTTCGGCAGATCTCTCTCCTTACGCGGCCTCAGAGCTCAGTACATGGACACCCTCTTCCCCCCACCCCCCAACCCAGCGATCGGAATCCCGAGCGTGCCCCACCGCTGCCTTCTACAAAGCAGCAGGATGATCTCGTGTGCAATTCAAACACCAAGCCTGCTTGCAGGTTCCGGCAAAACCCTGGCTGCCTCCCTGCGCCCCTTTCACTGCGTTGATGGTTTACGGATAACTGCATCTCTACAAACCCTCTCTCCACGGTTGGTGGGGGGAGGGAATTACAGATGGGGGGAGGGGGTTGGTGGGGTTCTGTTGAGGGCTCCGCACCCAACGGAGCAGTAATACTCTCATCCACATGGACGCGGGTGCATAAATCGCCTTAACGTTTTGCCCTGAAAAGGGAGCCAATTTCCAAAGTTAAAGACCACGCAGTTGAATTTCCAGTACTTTCCAACCTCGCCTAGGCGGGGGCAAGCAGAGAAGGGGCGGGCAGCTGGCAGCTAACTCGCCCGACCGCCCCGCCAAGAAGGACTCACTAGTTGAACCCCCTCCCCCGCCTTTCACCCAAGTAGTTGGTTGTGCATTCCTCGGTTGCGTGTACACACACACACACACACACACACACATGGCCCCATTACCTTCCTGTCTGCTCCTCCAATGTAACTACTGCATTTTTAAATGGCAATTAAAATGACTAAGGAGCTCGGTGATCACATTTCAACCCAGAGCACATTTCCCGAAGCTGGGGTGAAAGTAGTCACACAGTCACACTCATACCCGGGAGCCCTCCAAGCGTCCACCCGGCGGCTGCAGCCTCAGCTGGCTCCGAGACGAACGTCAACACCGCGGCCGGGCGCCTCGTGAGGAGACGCGGGCGCCCCGCAGGTCGCTGAGGACGAGGGGCTGGGGTCGCGTCTCCGGGTTCTGAGCTCCAACCACCGCCCGTGCGGGGCTGTTGCAGCCAATACTTGCCCCGCAGGGCAGACTGCAGCCGCTGAAGCCCGGCGCCGCCTCGCGGGATCCTCCAGCGCCCGCCGGGGGCCTGGGGCAGGCTGGTCCGCAGACGGGCTGCAGGCAACCGGGCCGGGGCGGGGAAGGGGAGCCGGGGGAGGCAAATGAACCTGGGGCGGGCCGCCTCCCTCCCACCAGCCTCCCATCTCCCTGCCCTCCCCCAGCCCTTGCTCCCAGGCTCCAGTCCGCGGCAGGCTCCGGGGGCTGCGGCGGCTCGGGGCTCCAGACGGGCTTGCCTCGTCGGCCACCAGCGCCCTAGCCTCCCTCCTCCCGGGCCAGGGGAACAAGCAAACATCTCCCGGAGCCCTCGGAAGCCGCCCGAACCCTGCCCGGGCCAGCAGTGCAGTGGGCGATGGAGCTGGCGAGGCGTTGCCGCGGTCCCCAAGGCGCTTTTCCGTAGAGCGGATCACGCCGCCTTACCGTGGCTGCAGGCTGCTACCGCCGGGGAAGCGGGGAGGAGGGCGGCAGGGAGGCGAGGCGCCGCGCCGGTGGCTCCTCTCGCTCTCGGCCGCGCGGCTCCTCTGCTCCGCGAGCCGGAGCGGGGCTCCCAGGAAGGAGCAAGTCCGGGCTCTGCGCTCAGCTCCGGCGAGACCAACAATAGCTCCCGCGGGGAGCGGAGCCCCAGCGAGCCTCCAGCCGCGCGCTCTCCACGCCCGGCTCCCGCTCCCGGCCGCTCCCGGCCGGCGTCCCTGCCGGCACTGCTGCCCCACATGAAACAGCTGCAATCCCGAGGCTTCTGGGGGTTGGGGCGGGTGTGTGAGCGCGCGCGCGTGTGTGTGTGTGTTTAATAGCTTCCCTTCTCTTCTTCCCCTCTCTGCCTGCTCGCCTGCCTGCCTCCGTCCCCCACCCTCGCTCTCTTACACACAGAAAGAGAGGGCGAGCGAGAGAGACACACACACACACACGCACACGCAGGTTACATGAATGGGAGGCGGGAGCCAATCCTGCGAGGCCGGCGCGCCGCGCGGCGCACGGGCGCTGGGAGCAGGGCCGCACTCCGGCGCGGGGGGGCGCCACGCAGGTGACGGGCGCCTCTCCCTGGGCCACGCGCGGCCGCTCCCTCACCCCGGCCTCGGTTCCTCTCGCTCCTTCCCCCTTCCTCCGCCACCTTCTCCGTCTTCTCGCCTTTTACCTCCTTGGCTTTCTCGAATTCTCCGAGCTCTCTCAGTTCGGTATCTTTCTCGGTCTCTTTCTTCTTTTTCCCTCCTTGCTTGCTTTCTCGCCCCTTTCTGAAACTTTCTCTTTTCCTTTCTGGACTTTCTTCTACTTCCCCTGCTTTTGCCTTTTGTTCTCTTTCCTCCTCCCTCCTTTGACTTTCTCTCTCCATAGCAGGGTCTGGTCCCCCCTCCCTCCTCTTCGCCTCTCCCCGGGTCTCTCTAGGGCCCACGGCCTCCCTTCTGCCTGCCCGCTGGATGTTACTCCACACCCCCCTCCCCCACCCCAACACTTTTCCAGGGTCGGTCCCTTTCAAGTTGCTACCGCAGCACAGCCAGAGGTAATTAAGAGCTGGGATCTTGAGTTATTTCCACAGGCATGCAAGATGCCCAGAGAAAGGCCCTCCTTCCTCGGACAACTTCGCCAAAACCATGGTAACAGCTACCGAGTCGTGATAACAATCACTTAAAAAAATAGCAGTGATCGCGGTCCAAGAGATTTCTGTCCCTCGAATGTCTGGATCGTGATGGCAAGCACATTTCCAAGAGAAGGGCATTTTTATATGATGAGAGTGGCAGTTTGACTGAGTGGCAACGTGGAAGGGCTTTGTGGGAGAGACTGGAGGAATTTCCACTCCAGCCCTGCTCCATGCTAGCTGTAGGACTTAGTCCAAGCCATTTCCCCTTACTCAGCTTCAGTTTTCTCATCTATAAAATGGATGATACCGACTTCACCAGTTATGGTGAGGATTAAAAGAGAGAACAATGGAAAGAAAGCACTGGGTGTATACCAGCTGCTTAATTTATGTTAGTTTCCTTCTCTAAGACAACTTCCTTCATGATCTTCTGCTACACTGTGTCTCTATGATCTAAAGTAGTTAATGAAGGAGGAAATGTGACAATGCTAATTTCATATAAATGAGAAAGGAGGGGCAGGCTATTTTGAAAACTCTTCTGTGTGGTGAGGAGACTGTCTAGCCAGTTGCCATATGCTGATTATAGAGGCATCACAGATTATAAACGTAGGGTGCTGGAATGCCCCTTCAACATCTCATAACTAGGGCATCTCAGAAAGGCAGGGATGGGTTGGGGTGGGTGGGAAGTTTCCACACAATCTGTCCAATCTATTCTTAAAATCTTCATGATAAGTGTACACTGACCAGTGACAAAGCCTCTGAGATTAACCAAAATGTCAGGTCTCTGCCTTTGAATAGCATTTATCAACTTTGTGTCCTCACTGCAGACATCAAATGCTGGGTATCAGCTGTGATAGGCAGTTAGAGTTAGTCCTTCAACAAATATTTGTTGACCACCTACTTTGTGGCAGGTGCTGTGATAGGTCTTGGCATTCAGTGGTGAGGCAAACAGGCCCTGTTTTCCAAGCTTACAGTTCAGTAGACATGTTTCATGAATGTATACTGAGAAAATGAGACACAGGTATCTGAAAGAGTGACATTGGTTTAGTGGACAAATTCTTTCATTACAGGAGGTCTAAGATAGGGAATATAAGAAAGGGACCTTTGAGAGTGGTAATTTTGCAAACCACTTTCAGTCTATGCATTTCATTTGACCAGTGAGAAAATTGAGACCCAGATGCTAAAAGTAGTGGGTGAAAGTATGTTGAGAAACAAAATATATAGAGAGTTTCAAAGTATCTCCCCACATGATACTAATTTCAAAGGGGAAAATAGTAACTTGTCAATAAAAAACCTAAAATCAGCATCACCAGGAATGTGACAAATATGACATCATGTGGCCCCTGATATAATGCACTGAAAAGGACATAATATCACTTCTGTGGTATTCCTGGTAAACATGAATAACCTGAATCTAATCATGAAGGATGCCTAGTGGAATTGTTGGGAGTAAGGGAAGACTTCCCACAGGAGGCGACATTCAAGCTGAGTTTTTCTGTTTGTTTCTCTTTTGTTTTGTTTGTTTCGAGACAGATTCTCGCTTTGTCATCCAGGCTGGAGTGCAGTGGTGCTGTCTTGATTCACTGAAGCCGCAACCTCCTGAGCTCAGGTGATCCTCCCACCTCAGCCTCTTGAGAAGCCGGGACCACAGGCATGTGCCACCACACCACACTGAACTAATTTTGTTTGGTTGGTTTTTTAAAGATGAGGTTTCACTGTTGCTCAGGCTGGTCTCAAATACCAGCAATACTCGGGCCTACACCTCCCAGAGTTCTCGGAATACAGGTGTGAGCTGCCGTACCTGGCCTCAAGCTGAGTTTGAAGGCAAGGAATTAGCTAGACCATGAAGGAAGGGGAGATACTTTTTAGATACAGGTTAACAGTATGATGACATGGACAAAAGCATGAGACACTCATAGCAGAGTTGGACATGTTGAGGCAGGGTCTTGGAGGAGTCTAGAGGAGTCCTAGAGTCTAGGATTCGATTTTGACAGGGCCTGAAGTAGGCTAAGGATCCAAACATTCTGAAAGTTCAGGTACTGGGGCAGAGGGAGGGTAGAGAGTTAATACAGGTTTTTAAGTAGAGGAAGGATGTGATGTTGAGTATATTTTAAAAGATGAGCTGGCAGTAATGTAGAGAAATGGATCAACTGGGGTGACTTAGGAAGACTAGAGGCAGGAGTAAGTAGGTCATTTAGGTAAACTAAGGCAGTTGCAGGGAAGCCAGATAAGGGAGGAGAGATTTGAGAGAGATTGAGGATGATTTGGGTTTCCGATTGGATGGGGGCAGCAACGAGACGCCCAAAGTGACCCTCAGTTTTCAAGCTTGGGTATCTCAGTGGAAGGCGGCACTGCTTATTGCAACATCAAGAGTATTCAGGAGGAAGCAGAACTCAGGGAGAAATTTAGAGGGGAAAATAAGGTCAGTTGTTACCATGTTATAATCTAACTCTGTAGCTAAGTTTAGATTCTCCTGTATGGCTCCTCTGTGCCATAGGAAACACTAGTTGTAAAATTCAGCCTAAGACCTCCAAACAGCCAGCTCTATGTATTACCCAGAAAAACAGGAGATTGGATAAAATGACCATTCATTATTTTTAATAATGGGGAAAAATTGAAGCAGCCTAAATGGTCAAATAAAATAAGTAAATTGGAGGATAGCCTTTTTGGAATACTATGCAACTACTCTAAAGTGTTTTTGCAGTTTTTCATGCCGTAAGAAAATGTTAGTGTTGTCATTTACAATATCCTGGTTGGTTGGTTGTTTTTGTTTTTTTTATTTGAGGTGGAGTTCCCCTTTGTCACCCAGGCTGGAGTGCAGTGGCTGACCTTGCCTTACTGCAACCTCTGCTCCCGGGTTCAAGTGATTCTCCTGCCTCACCCTCCAAAGTAACTGGGACTACAGGTGCGCACCACCACGCCCAGCTAATTTTTGTATTTTTAGCAGAGACAAGGTTTCACCATATTGGCCAGGCTTGTCCTGAATGCCTGACCTTGTGATCTGCCTGCCTCAGCCTCCCAAAGTGGTGGGATTACAGGTGTGAGCCACCGCACCTGGCCATATACATTATTTTAAAAAAGAATTCAAAATTTTTAGCTACATAAAAACCCTCTTTCGGAAAAATCTGAAGAAAAAAATGCCAAATATTTACCATGGTTTCCTCTGGGTGATGGGGTTATAAGTAATATATATTTTCTTCTGTGTACTTTTTTGGTATTTCATAATCTTTGTATATAAACATTCATTATTCCATTACAAAAAAATTTTAAAGCTGCCATTAAAAAAAATACAAAGACATGGCTATGACCATCCCCCCTTCCCCAACTTTATCCCTTTTTAATCCACCTTGCCCACTCCCTGCTGAAGAGTAACTGCGTTTTAAGGTTTATCTTGGAGATTGAAATAAGGAGGCATTTAACAAATCAGAGGAAATCAGCAGCTGGGCTGGAGAGGGGGAGAGGGCATTCTTATGAAAGCAGACATGTTGTGAGAGCTGTTAAAACTGTACATATTAAAGATGTTTGCACTGCCATTATTGATTCTGTGATATGTTACAAGGAAAAGAAAACATATAGTGGGGTCAAGAAAATGTGAGTCTTTAAAGGTCAAGTTTTAATTAGCAAATGTATTTATTTGCAAAAAAAAAAATTTTCCCTTCAGAGTCCAGCAGTTACTATAAAATTGCTTCAGGGAGTAAGTACTTCAAAGCAAGAAGACACTGAGGAGCAAGAGGCAATGCCTCATGCCTGTTGTCTGACGTCACATCAAATACTCAAGCCAGTTGCTTAGGATTTGGACACCTACTGATAAGTGCCATCAAACTTCCATAATTACAGGATGAGAAAAATGCCTGCCAGAGGTTAGTCTTGGTCTTTGGAAAGGTTGCTGTAAATAGTTCCCTGGTAAGGTTCCCTCTGCATCTCTGATTTTTCATCTCACAGAAATATTTATCCTGTGGGTAATGTCTCCAACCTAATAATAATAACACCTTACACAGCATAGCCCTTTCACCTTTTCAAAGGCCCTCCACATCTGTTGATTCATTCAATCCTTGTACCCACTCCTGCTGGAATCCTACCTCCAATGTGTGCCAGGAGGAAGAAGGACCCATAGAGGTTCAAACAAAGAAGCAGAGCAGGGGTTAGAACTAAAAGAAGGAATAGGAGACATTCTTGGAGAGCCTTCTGTGTGGCCCTGGAGCTTCAACAGTGTGTTATCACATAGAATTGTTGTGACGACTAGAGAGGAGAGTGAGCACACCGAGGCTTGTGAGGCTCTGGCTCAGCCAAATCAGAATCAGAATCCAGCTC